CTCCTACCTTACATGAACAAGGATCACCACCATGCAGAATTATGACTACTACTAGAATCATTCATGCTCATAACTGCGAACATGTTAACTAGCAGGCTTGCACTGTCGGCTGTATACGCATCAGGAAAAGTATGCAGCAAAGTGGCCAAGTTATTAGTCTAAGTAACCAGCTAACCTGAAGTAAATAACTTCATGGTGCAAGGTCTTCTGTGAGACATCAGCAATTATTCAGCTGGTAAAGGAATCAAGTCTTTACGTTATTCACTACTAGGCCATCTATTCAGTATACATGCAGAAGAACTAGTACTATATTACAACTTTAATATTATCCTCCCACCTACAACTGTAGTCCCTGTGGTCTCTTTCCAGGAGTTATGGATTAATGGGGCCAGATTAACCTGTACCAGCCATGACTTGCATTACTGCAATGGCACATGCATGTTGTCCAGCTTGCTCAGTATTATATCTCTAGACGATTTCTGTTTCATCAGAAAAGAAAGTAGGCCTATGAAATCATTATGGCTTATGTGCGAGTGTGTCCTTTCAGCTTTTTCATCAGTTAACTGTTTTTCACAAAACTTTGTATGAATATTACACCAAATGGCATAGTTTATAATTCTTTACAGTCAGTAATAACAACATGACATGCATGAACTTGTGAGGTAGGAGTAAAACTAGTGATATCTAACATGATAACCTCCTATAATCTTAAAAAAAAATGCCCATTCCTACACGTTATGAATGAAATATCTGTATCAATTAAAAACATGAAGATGCGAAACTCTGACTTACATCTGACAAATATGACAGAACTTATACTGAAAGAGTAAGTTGTTCACAAAAATAAAATAAATTTGCAATAATAATAGACCTGCAGCTCTAGAAATCTGTGCACTAGGAAAGTAGGATTTATGAGCTCTACTCAGAACTGTGTTTAAATACCAATATTGTTAGCCCAGAGTTAAAATACACCTGTTAGCCCCATGGTAGCAACAGATTTAAAGCCCCTTATTCCCGGATTATAAATTATTATCCCGCCTTATTAAAATCCAACTTCTAACCTCACAGTACTGGGAGATTTAAAATTCCCTATTCCCAGACCAAGACCTATATAAAACAAGTAAAGTTATAGCTCCATATGTTTTACCTTTACACAAAAATCACCTATATATGGGTAAACTTTTAAAAATATCAAATATAAAGCAATCTCCTGAATGAAACAGAGAAGTGAAGAAGTGACAGATACATTCAACTGTAGCAGATAGAAATGATTTACAAGACTGCTTTTGCAGTATATCTTCATACTCCATCTACTGGAAAAATTGAGTAATTACAGGGAGTCCATGGTGTCTAAATATATCAGCTTCTACTNATCCCAGTTCGCAGGTTTCCGCTTCCAATGGACGACTAGCCTTAGGTCACATATTGCTAAAGTATTTTAAATATTGAAAGAAGTGAATGTCATATGTAACAGTGCATCCTTAAGTTGCTCAGGAAGTTTAAGCAAGATAGAAATTTCCTACAGGGCATCATTCTATCAAGACTGGTCAGGGAGGGATCAAAATACACATAAACATGAGCATAGTAATGATAAAATATACACAATGTAATTTATGATCATGTTTCTGGTAAACAAACTGGTACAAAATAAAAACACACCTTTCATACATGATAGTTTGTTTCTACAAGCATCCACTACACAACAGCATGTCACACACTTACACTTCCAAATTTATATTCTACATCAAATCGCTTCAGGATATAAACCAAGAAATTAAATGAGCAGAGACTCATCTCAATTTACATAAATGTCAGTTCAATACAGGTTTAGTCTGAAGTTGTATAACAGTGAATCACGAAATCAAGTTACCAGAACAATATACTCAGTGGGACCCCCACTTCACACATTGAGGACTGGCAATTTAATTACCGGGTGTTCCTAAAAGAATGGTGGGGTTTCATTGCCGTATATCTCCGTCAGTTTTTGGTGTTGAAAAGCTCTCAAATTTTCATTTTGTATATGGCGCTCTTTCCTAGTTCCATTTCCGACAGTTAGGAGGCGTGAAATGTAAGAGTGAGGGAGACGTATCAGAGAAGCCCAAGAAAATCATTACAACTGGCCAATGATTCCAATGACTACATTTTCCAACAGGACGGTGCTCCCCCACATTACCATAGCATTGGAGAGGTTTGCTTAATCTGGTCCTTCCGCAACGATGGATTGGACGTGCTACAGGTGAAGATGCCCCCCTTCTCCGGTGGCCACCCTGATCCCCGGACATAACTCCATGTGATTTCTTCTTGTGGGGGTACGTGAAGGACATGGTTTATGTACCCCCATTGCCCAAATCGCTCCAGGATCTCCGAAACAGAATCAATCGTGCTGTGGAGACCATCACACCTGAAATGCTGCAGCGGGTGTGGCAGGAATTCGACTATCGCATTGATCTGTGCCGGGTAACGAAAGGTGCGCACATAGAGGCACTTTGATGGATGTACATAAAATTTGGACAATTAAGCTTCCGATTGACACGTTATGATTGTACATGGTAAGAAATACAAAATATATACGTATCTAAAACCCCACCATTCTTTTAGGAACACACTGTATTAAAATCACTCTGGGGACCGGCATTTTTAAACCCAGTACCCTAACTTGTGCACTGTTCACTTTAAAAATTATATAAAATATCCTAATTAATTTTATGAACTAAAATTTTTGGAGAAAACTTACCAGTGCTCCTGGAAGTGCTTGAGAGTGTGATATTTCTGGAAACATTCCCCTTTGTGAAGTGGCATTACACAGAACTTGCAAATGTAGGCAGTCATGCTCCTTTTTCTGTGAACTGCACAAACAAGGCATTGCCTAGAAGGATGCTTCCCCTTGGAATGTTCACTCTTCACAATTTTCACGAGGGAATGTTTCCGCATATCACCCGAGAGTCGCCCAAGGGGGTCCACATGAGGCCTGCGTGGGGTGGGAGTTGATGGGCCCGGTGCAACTAAGTCTGTGTCTGACTCTTGTTCTGCCGCCACCATCTGGTATGTAGCCCAGGCCTTTGCCACATTCATCAGGAATGTTTGTATTTCAATTTCGAATCAGGGTTTAGATTTTTGTAAACCAAAAATGAATTGAAAATGGCACAATTTATAAGCCACAAGGCAACTTTCTTTGTCCACGTTATTGTTTTCCTACGAAGAGAATAATAGGCCAAGTATTGATCGGCTCTATCAACTCCCTTCATGAACATATTATACTCAGAAATACAAATAGGTTTCTTTACTTGTCCATGTGTCCTTTGAACATCAACCATGTTCGAATTGTGAATTGTAGAAACCATATTCACAACACGAGTATCCCTCCAGCACTGAAGAAGAATATCCCCCTTCCCCCTGAATGTGGTTTCACGACGTTGGGTCTGATGGAATTTGTTTCACCCCTGGATTTGCAGTAAACTGTCCCAAAGTAGGCATTTTGTCTACTTTTCCCCATGTGGCTGTCCCCGCAATTTTACTACCTCTACTTTCACTTTTATTTTATGTGGCCACAATTGTTTGTTGTCCCCTGTCACTGCCACTGTCTGAGTCACTTTCACTCTCCTCTCAGAATGAACGTCAGATAGCTCATCGGAGAACAAGTCAGATATTTCTTGTTCTCCGAGAGAGATCGCTTCGTCTTCAACTGCTTCTGTCCTTGATTCATATTGCACTAACTTCCTGCCTGGTACATAACAGCTTGAAGGGTCAAAGATTATTTTCCTTTGGAGGGGGAACCAAAACAGCGAGGTCAAGTTACTGCCTACTAAGCAAGCATTCCAGAGTAATATTACGCAGTAGTCGTTCATTTGGGTGGCGCCAGAGCAAGGTATAGTGTGTTACAACGTAACATGTCCTAAAATCATGATATCATGCGACCTGTCCTCAATGTGTTAATGTTTCTCAATGCAAGGCTTATCTCAATTTAAAGTTCAAACCCACTGTTCTACAAAGAAACTTTAAATGGTGTTTCACTGAAGAGACAAGTTCAAATTCAGTGAATGCTGACAAATACTGGTGATTGTTCACATTCGCCAATCTTGTTGGTGAAAATTTTTAGTTTTTATATTTTTAGACATACACACACTGGAAAATGCCATCAGTCACAGAGGGTAGAAGGTGCATTTTTGACAGAATGGAACAGTCATTGGATCATTCTTCTGCACATGTGTGCACCTCTTTGGTAATACTGCAGTGAATGTTATCAATTATGTTGACAATGATACTGCAAGCACACTACAAGGTGTGCTGTGTTGAATTTCATTAAAATTTAATATGTCAGTCAGTGGAAAGCAAAAAGTAACTGCTTATTCTTAAGTAAACAAAAGCATTTATGTAATAAGTGAAGTGACCAGCGAAACAGTAAATACTACTGTCAAAAAATGCATGGATTGTTGGCATATACAAAGTTCATTCTTCTGAAATCTGATGACATTAAATTACTCTGTCTGCTGCTTGCTTACATGACTTACTCTTTGACCTTGAATACAGATGCATGACATTTCTCAAAAACTTTGGTAAACATGGCATAACATCCCTAAAAATTGTTCTGTTCATAGTAACTGCCATAACCTCAACTCTCACATGACTGAAGTATTTATTTTTACACAAGTTTCTTTTCTCCTGGTTGATCTTCTTGTGAAGTTTTAAAAGTTGAAAGACTTCTATTTCAATCCCAATCTGATTAGACTTACAGCAGAACTCCTAGGATGGGGGGAAAAAAGGTAAAGCTTTCCCTGTAACAGGCCATGGAGGCCAATAGGGTTGTGACATGTCGAGGCTCCCACATTTTCTACATAATCGGCTCAAACATGGTGGTGAGGTTGTCAGCCTTACATGCCAGCCACCCAGGGCCATAGTGCAGCTGGAATGATGAGGTCAACTGAAAAGTCCAATGTCCTCATTGGGAATTGAACCCATGACCTTCTGCCTAGGATGGGGGATGTATGAATGCCATACAACTGTTAACAGTTGACAAGGACAGTGCATGACATCAACATTAATTATTCTTCCCTCTTTAGAATTATCATATGACAAATTCTGTTATTAATCTTTACTATATGGAATTCTACGGAGATGATCATAAGGACTAAAACGTTCTTTACATTACTATCACAGCATATGTATGGAGGAACTGAGGAAATATGCACACCTCTGAACTACAGACTACAGAGGTCCATGTGTATCAATAAAATTACAGTAATGAGCAGAAGCACATTTTTCCACACACACTTATTCAACCAACCCATAAGTACCACATAATATTTTCCATTCTACCCACACACAAACATTTTCTTCTAACAAAACCGTGAAACTATGTGAAGTAAATACGCAATTCTTAACTTTATGCATGGTGCAAACCTCTGAACATTTTATCAAGGAACCACAGTACTACCACAGTTAAAAAAAAAGCTTCTTCTTTTTCAAGAATTTTATTTTTACAATTATGTACTTTTTAGTATTATATCAGTCATTACTGGAAATTCTTGATTTCAGGACTCCATGTCCTCCCAGCTAACCAAGTCTCTTTTGTTATACTTGAGGCAAAAATTAGAGTTTCTTTGAAAAAATGTGTAATACCATATTTACAAATATCTAACTCAAAGTAAAAGTGTAATTTCATGCCACTTTCAATCAGCACTGTATTATTTTTCATTTGCAGTCATGAAATCATACTTTCAGAAACAGTCTGTACCAAATATGTTAATTTAAACAGTGAATTAATTTTCTTCTTATGATGTCAATCTTATTTATGTCTACAAAATGACTCCTCAGTGTGGTTTATTTATGCAACTCACCAACCACATAAAATGTACAAAAGCAGATGAAACACCATGGGATTTCCTTACCTCTTCTGGGCAAATGGGTAAAATCACAGTGCAGTGACTACCTACACACATTCCTGTACCTACTTCAATGGTAAGAGCATAAAACAGTGATCATCGAATATGGCCACTAGCAATGATCATCAGTGTCAAACAGCAAAAAATAACCATATCCAAGGTGTTCTCAAGTTTCGTTCAAGTACAGGGATATCTGTTTGTGTACTGTGAATAAGTATATCTCTAAATGTTTCTTCACGTGTTCAATGGTTGCATATATACTTTGGAACATCCTCACCCAAATATTATTTGAAACTGAATATGGCCATAGCCAATATTTAATTCATGAATATGGCCATCAAAAATGTTTGCACAAACATATTTACTTCCTAGAACGGAGAGATGGTCTTGTGACGATTTCGGCTGTTATATCTGTGAAAATAGTATTTGCCATACTCAAAGGTAGAGATCATGATAGCACAGGCTGGTGCCACCTTGACAAGTCGTGGTGTAAGGCCAGTGAACAGTCCACTAATTCCATTGCGACTGTAGATATTCTGCAATGTCTTGAGCATGGATCTGCCTTGGCTAGGAGGTTCTGCAATAGTATTCACAAGAACACATCATTATGCCCTGTGGGTGACATCAGTAGCACAAGTTCCTTACAATACATAAAAAAGGAAAAAACATATAAATATAACTATTTTGTAGATATACAAGGTTTGACAAATAAATTCCAGAACTGAGTCCATTATGTGCATTTAAAACACATAGGAACATGTAAGTTGACTCTTCCATTGTGTCCTCTGTACAAGGTTGGTCACCTCTCTCTTGCCATGCATGCTCAGTCATGTTTAAGATTTTGTATCGTGCAGATCATTGTGACAGTTCATAGTGATGGAGCAGAGAGTGAACATTTAAGTTTTGTTTCAAAAGGCAAAAGAGCTGACGAAACTTTCCTGCTGATAAAACATGCTTATGGTGACAATGCTCTCTTGTACATTGGTTTTTGAATGGTATGCAAGATTTCAGGATGGCCATGAAAATCTTGAAGATCATAAAAGCTCTTTGAGACACCTGACATAGCCAAAACATTTCAGGAACTGATTTCAACTGAACGTTGAAGGATTCTTCAGATGATGGAAGAGGAATTCGAAATCAGCACAAAAATAATCTCAGAAAATGAAGATCTGCTCTAGATTTGTTCCACATTGTCTGACATACGAACAGAAGGTGCCCAAACTCTAAGGATGTCAAGAGTTTATTCAGTCTGTGGCTGCTGATCATCCTTGCTTGACTCAATTGTAACAAGTGATTAGACGTTCATGCAACTTTAGTGTCCACTTTTAGATTTCAAAACCAAAATATTCAGTGTTTTGGAAGTAAAAAGACTCTATGTTCAACTTAAAATAAGTGATTTTTCATTCACTAGCTCTTCTCATTTGTAAGCCTTGTATAAACGTGGAATGAGTAAATGTCAGATTCACATCCTTTTCAGGTGAAGGGTGATCAGTCTTCATCCACGAATTCAAAGTGTGTGACCACTCTTTCCCAAATGGCTGGAAACCACTGCTACAGACAGACCATCAGAAATATGGAACATAAGATACTAACCTGCTGCAATTATTATGCCAAGGGGATAGTGACACAAAGAAATAAAAGCATTCTCATGCATCTTTTTTTCAGGGGTTGGGGGGAAGCAAAGAGAGAGACCACAATCAGTGACACTGAACCATGAAAGCTTGTTACTCTAATTGGCAAGATTGGTTGGTATACAATGTTACCCTTAATGGAATATAATTTTTCCTTGCCATTATGATGCATAATCTGAGGATTTAATGATACTGAACTGGAGCTCATTTCTAAGAGTGGCTCTAATGACAGTGAAAGTGAGCCTGTGGAAGACACAGCAGCACCAGCAGATGATAACAAAAATGTAAGCTGAAACTGAGATAAAATTTGGACAAGACCATAACACCCTCACAATTCTAGCAGTGTTCATCCTTTTATTACAGGTACCAGTGGATTGAAGGAGACAGCAGGGGCACACCATGTGAGATAATATTCTACAGAAATTGCTGTTTTTCTCTTCTATATTGAAGTGATCTAACTGCTGGCCACAGAGAATAATGAACTCTGCAACCACTATTTAGGCACACTTGAGAATGAAGATGTACTCTCATTATTTGCTGACATGACTGTGCATGAGATGCCTGTCTTTTTGGATAAACTAATGAAATCTGGGACACAATAAAGGATTAATGGTCCACTCTGGGGCAGTTCTTTAACACATAGTAACATGATGAAACATTACCATTTTTTTCTTTATTGACATTTCTACAATTCCCTGACAATATAAATCAACCAGACAAAACTGACAAGAAATAAGACCGACTCTTGAAAATCGGATCTCTCTCTGAAAGATGACTAAAGCCTGAGATAAATTTTTGTAAGCTTGAATATTTAGCTGTGGATAAAGTTACTGTGCTCTTGAAAGGTAATTATTTTCAAGCAATACATTTTTAAAACATAAATGCTTTGGTATAAGGATTTACAAACTGTGCAACAAGCTGATACATATTTGGGAAGGGGCAGGAAAAAAGCAAAACAGAAGACAGTTACAAATGAGACAGTGAAATGTCTCACTGGAACAGAAGAATGAATCTAACTATACTTAAGAGCTACATCATTCCATCATCCTGTTGTAGAAAACAGAGCACCAAAATTGTCTCACTTAGGTTCAAAGATGTTAAAATTTTTGCAAGGGAGCCTCAACCTCAGTTCACTTTAAAAAGACCAAACCCACAAGCCTGTAAAATCTTTCACATTGAAGGTGAACAAACTTGTCATGACACATGTGCTTGGCCAAAAGAAACACATGGCTACCAAATGTATATGCTTGAAGTGTAAGGTCAGTCTGTGTACAGTCCTATGTTCTCATGTTTACCATACAAAGCCAAACTCCTAAATTAGAGTTCTGTCACAATGTGGAAAGGGAAAATTTCCCAGAGATGTATATGCTATACATTTTAATGTATGTATATAATATTTTGTTTTATTTTGGGATTCCATAAAAATTATTGGAAGCAATGATTTGTACACAGAATTTGGTAATGTAATTTCTTTCAATTATCTTTCAATAGGATATCTTGGCAGGTATCATTCCAAAAATGTATATGTTTCTTCAATACTAATGTCATTGCCAGTTATAACTTCCAGAGTTAAAATCCAGCTATTGTAGCCAGCAATTAAAGTCCCTAGTCCCATATGATAAAGGTTAAGGTATACACCATACCTGTAAGTATTGGTCCAGAGCCAAATGAGTGCAATGTCAATGTGCCCCTCTTGCCTGCAAGCCGCCAGTCGCAGTACCGAGAACAGGGCATGGGTGGATTAGAGATCACATATGCAAACTGACATACCTATACATGCAATGTAAAGTTGGTTCACCACACGTGACTCCTGGATGATGCAGCTTACATACCCTACACCACTGTAAATCAAACCTGACTGCTAAAGACAGACAGAGATGTATGTCCTGTACATTTTAATATTATTATTTCCTGTTACACTGTACACTGTGTATATCCACACCTCTGCAACGGGCATATAGTCCTTACTTTGCACTGGTTAGTGAGTAGATCATGTAATTATGTATCAATCGCTAGCTAAACTCCCAGGCCAGGAGGCCATACACTAGCATACTAACCCTATAAAGTGGTTGTCAGTATGGGTGTAAAGAGCACTGTTAGCTCTTATATATTTGTCCTTTTCTCCACCCATCTGCTGTCACATGGCCAAAGTAAATGTGTCAATGTTTTCAGTAAGTCTTCTCCTCTGCTGCCATCTTCTATTTTTCCCCCAAAAGCTTCTTGGAATACTTATTATCTCAGTTTTTCTAATCCACATCATATAAGGAAGTGAGTCCATTAAAATGGCTGGTGTCTTGAACCATGCAAGTGTTGGAAATGCTAATCTCTTGAGAATTTTAGAAGACTTATTGTGTTTCTCCTAGTGCGACAGAAAGTGAAGGCCCAAAAGGTGGGAGTGATCACATGCAATTAAGTGCCAATGATCTAGACATTCCCTTAGCAACATATTGCTGGTGACTATTCTCCAACAAAAATACCTTTCACTAGTGGACATTGACCCCAAGTAAATGTAAACAGCGCTTTGGAGAGCTTCTTGTGTTTTTTGATATAGACTTTGTAGATCCTATTGCATGTGAGGCACACATATATGTTGAACACTATATTCAAAGTGGTGTTTTGAAGCTGAGGTCTAAGATTAGAAACCGAAGTCAGGAGCGATATATATAAAACTGGAGTAGACAAAATAACTGAAACACTAACAAACTGAGGAACAGAATTTGTGTTGGCTACACTGAAAGAACTTCAATTTGCAACACTGAATGTTTTTCCATTTGTTTACACTCTGTGGTGCTGGTGTCAGTGCATTAGTGATCGTGCTGAGTAAAGTCCATGTGAGAGAATTGGAAAATGGGAGACTTGTGTGATTTTGAAAGAAGATAGATCGCTGGTGCGCATTTAGCTGGAGCATCTGTGATAAAAAATTCCACATTATTAGGCAGAACAAGAGCAACTTCTAAGGTTATATCAGCATACACAAATCACGAGAAGACAACATCAACGAAGAGGAACAACGAGCAAAAATCAGCACTGACACAAAGAGACTGTCATACAACGGGAAAGATTGTTTCAAAAAATGACAGAACTACTACAGCACAGGTTACAGGAAAGCAGAACTGAATATTCATCTTGAACACCCTGATTTAAAAAAAAATCTGTCAAACATGAGGTTCACAAATCCAACATCCATGGTAGGGCTATAACTGCTAAACTTTTGATTACTGGAATTAATGCTCAGATGTGTAAACAATGTTGTCATGACTACAGAATCTGGACATCAGACAACTGCAAATGTGCAAGAGATATGGTCAGATGAGTCATCCTTCATAATGTTCCCCACATCAGGAAGAGTTTACATTTTGAGAACACCCAAGGAAGCCTACACTGCAGAATGCCTGGTTCCAACAGTGAAACACAGGGAAGGTTCCATGATGGTTTGGGCAAGCAATATCGTTGTATTACATTAGTCCCATTATTACTCTTCATGGCTGAATTACTGAAAGAGAGTATGTGAACAGGTTGTCTAATCACGGACATCCCATGATCCAGGCATTAATTCTGAATGATGCAGTTTTCCATGACAACAGTGTCCCTATTCACACAGATGTAAGTGTTCAGTCATGGTTCGAAGAGCATGAAGGTAAACTGTGACATCTTCCCTGGCCAGCACAATTGCCAGATTTGAACATCACTGAACCACTGTGGTCAAGTTTTAGAGATCAGAGTCAGGAACAGGTTCCCACCTCCAACATCTCTAAAGCAGCCTGATGTTCTTCAAGAAGAATGGCATAAAATCCTGCTAGAGACTGTTCAAAACTTCAATGAGTCCATTCCAAGAAGGACTGCAGCTGTGCTGAAGGCAAAACTTGATCCAACACCATATTAATAAAGAAATGTGTACAGTATCTGTAGTGTCTCCATTATTTTGTCCATCTCCTGTATATGTGACACTGGGGACCTCCATCCTGATGGGAATCAATCAGACACGCACACATAAATCATGTTTTTCAAAAGATGCATATCTTGAAACACCCATACATGTATGAAATACTATACTGATCAGATCGGAACTTACAAGAAAGTTTATATACCACACAAGGCAGTTACACTGGACCACAAAAATCTTCAAAATCAGCACAATACTTAATGCTTTGAATGCCAAGATTCAGTCTTTGTATGTGTAACACTTGCAATTATGAGTCACAATATGGGAAGGTCAGTTAGGGTGGAAACAATTTACCTCTTTGAAGGCATCAGAATTTAGTATAAGAACATATGAAGGATGTGAATCCAGGTCAGGGTACCTTTGAATTCTTGTTGTTTACAGTGGAGCTGATTCAGAAATGTGGAAGACAATCTAAACAGTTCGAAGACTGCTGTCCATCTAATTCATTCTTTATTACACAATGGGCACAGCCTGTAACTCGCCATAGTTGGCAGCACTGTTGAGGGGATTAAGAGTTAGCGTTGCTGGCACTCTCAGATTGAGTAGGAAATATGTTCAAGTNTGGACTTAAATCAGTGCAACAGGACGCTAAAATATAACATTATGTTCAAGCCTGCATAGACAATTCCATGCTCCAGAAGGGGGACAAAGAAAGGAACTCTATTTGCTGGAAAGGAAGAGATGTGGCATATGGCACATAAAGTTTTCAAGAGATTCCTGCATGGAACCAACAATCACACAAGCCATCTAGAATATGTGATACAGCTTGCAAAGCCACTAATTCACACATACATATGAGGGAGAGTCAGTAAATAGGTCACAAATGGAAGTAAAACAGCTGTATTGGATGTAATAGGTTTTCTGTGTATCACTAGGTAGCAGATGCACATGTGCATGTTCAAAGGCTGGTTTCAGTAGTCAAAATGATGATCATGCTTGAGGAGTATGCAACTGAAAAGCAGCATTCTGTTGTGCATTTCTTGCGGGTAAAAGGACTCAATGAAATGTTTCTTGTTTACAGTGGGAAGTGGCTGAGACAACAACAGTCAAAAGACTTCCATGATGTGGGTTTTGATGCACTGGTAAAGCAATGGGAAAAGTGTATCGATGTTGGTGGATATGTCAAGAAATAAATGTATTTTCCAGGTTTGAATAACACATGTTTTATGTTTTACATCCGTCTGTGTCCCATTTACTGATTCTCCTCGTACAAGTGTCACAACATCAACTTAAATATGTTGGAAGCTTCGGCAGTGTTATCATCAGAATCATGGGACTGGGAAGCAGTACATGCAGAACTATAGAGGACTACCAGCAAACAATCAGCTTGCGTATCTACAAGGTATAGCAAACAGATTTTGAGACTAATTTTTAAAAATGTATTTTAAGTTCTGCAGATATTAGCAACCCAGAATTTTTAAAAGTAATCTCCCTCCAGTTCTTTAAAATGTTCCCAGCACTTAGGCCATTGTTCAAAACAGTTTTTAAAATCCTCAATACGAATATCTGTCAACATTTTTATCACAGATGATCTGCCCTCACCATCTGAGAAACACACTCGTTTCAGTACATTCTTTTGAGTTTTGGAAACAGCCAGAAGTTGACTGGAGACAAGTCAGGAGAGTATGCCAGATGATCCATGGCAGGGATGCCTTTTCCTACTAAAAACTGCAACACTTGAAGCAAAGCATGTGCCGGTGCATTGTCATGGTAAAGAATCAATGACTGATCTCTCCACAACTCTCCTCGCTTGCACCTCACAGCATCAATAAGTCTTTTCAGCACCTCCACATAGAATGTCTGATTAACAGTGGTTCCTTCACATACAAATTCAAAGTGAATGATACCCATGATGTCAAAAAAGCAGATCAACATTGATTTGATCATGGACTTTGACAACCATGGCTTCTCTGTCCTGGGGATTCACCATAAATCGTTCTTAATGTCTCTGGCGTTTCACCTGGTGATTTCTGCAGTTTATCACAAAAATTCACACTCACTCTCCATTCCATCATAAGCTCCATCTTCACGTCTGGACAGAGTTGACAACACATAGTGATCTAATGAGCTACTATTCAATGAATTATGAATGCAGCTTATCCAGACTTTCCATGTGAGCTCTGTCTTGTCCTGCCACCTAGCATTCCAAGTAACAGCACTGCCAGATCGCCCAGAATGAAATTAAAAATGAGTCTTAATACTTCTTGCCTGACCTTGTATTAGAAGGGAAGCATGCAAATGCACAAACACGATGCTAAACACACTTAACATAGACTTTGTACACCAAATTTAACCAAAACTCATTTCTAAACAGTGAAGGTTTTTCATGCTAGGAGACAAATATGTTGAATATAAATAATACTTTATACATGTTCATAGAAAGCATTAAAATGAATGTACAAAATGTCAGAGAGGAACACACTATATAAAGTCACGCAGATAAAGATCCATGCATTCCAAACACTGGCACTAGATGGAGATGAGTAGTAACATTCATGGAATAGCTGCTTTATCCTGGGATAAAAAGGATCCCAGATTCAGATGCAGACAAGAAAAATTATGTTAATTAACCATTTAAATGACATCCAAGCATTGTACATACACAGCCTGTGAGCAGTGTCAGCAATATACTACCTTATGTATGTACTCATTTATTTCAGTACCCAATCCACAGATATATAGCATGCATATGCCATCTAACTCCATGGAGCAAAGCCTTTCTTGAAAGTTAAGAGTCCCTCAAGTAGTCAAAAATTTCTGCCTTTTATGCCCACAGGATTCCTCTGAGCAAATATATGACAAGTGACTAGATGAAGTTAACAAATGTAGGAACATATACTAAATAAAGTCGGGAGAGAGGCAATGTAAAAACAGGCACATTTATGACAGGAGAGAGAAGAATTGAGGATGCTTTTGTCTTACGACCCACTCTAAACAAAGATAAAGCAGATGTTTGCTGCCCTTTTCCTATAGTTCTCCGTGGAAAAGAGAATATCAGTAGGAGGTTTGTTTATCTCCACCATGGCACTATGCAGATGGCTGTTCTACTGAATTAAACAATGAAAGGGTTATGTAATCTAAGACCTATATACATGTTTAATATGAGCTATGACTCAACAGCTTGGCATAAACAAAACTACAATTTTGCCTGTGGTTCTGTATGGGTGTGAAAAATTGTTTCTGGCATTAAGGGAGGAACAGAGACTGAGGGTGTTTGAAAACAGGGTGCTCAGGATATTATTTGGACTGAAAAGGGATGAAGTGACAGAAGGTCAGAGAAAACTGCATAATGAGGAGCTTCATAACTTGCACTCTTCGCCATGTATAATTAGAATGATCAAGCCAAGGAGGATGAAATGGGCAAGGCATGTAGCATGAATAGGGATGACGAGGAATGCATATATTGCTGGGAAAGCCAGAAGGAAAGAGACCACTTGGAAGACCAAGATGTAGGGGGTTACTAATATTAAAACAGATCTTAAGGAGATAGGATGGGATGGTATGGACTGGACTGATCTGGTTCAGAATAGGGACCAGTGTAAGGATGTTATGAACATGGTAATGAACCTTTGGGCTCCATAAAATGTTGGAAAATTCTTGAGAAGCTGCACAAGTGGCAGCTTCTCAAGAAAGCCTCTGCTCCATGGAGTCAGTTAGTTTTGACTCCACAACATCGGCATCACAACAGAATGTACATTTACCTGAATATATCTCCTTCTCACCTAGCTCTATCTGCTGATGTGTCTTCACAACATCAAAAGGGTTGGTTGCAACTGATGCAATCTGGAACAATCATCATCATCATCATCATCTGTCTGTAGAGTCTACAGACACCCGCTCATTCTGGTTCATTGCTGGCAGATTTCTTATACCCTGAAGATGGAGGTGAAACGTCCCTCCAAAACATCGATTAACAAAATATCTACAAGATGCCACATCCCAGAAGATGGAATTCTTCATGGTCACCACCATGAAAATCTCAAACCTTACAATATATTTTCTCCTCAACACACTGGTGCAAATTTTTACGACTAAAATGATACTGAACAGGTCTTCTGGACAGTAACTCTAATGAAGTAATCTCATTTGACAGTGAAAGTGAGCCTGCAGAAAACACTCTAGCAACAGGCGATAATAGTGATTTGAGTAGAAGCCAACATAAAATTTGGTCAACACCACAACATCCTTGGAATACAGGTGATGTCCATCCTTTCAACTGGAGGTCTCAGAGGACTGAGAGTACAAGAGACACCACAAATGAATAAAGATTCTATACTAAGAAGTCTTTCTACCCTTCTTCAGCGAAGGGACCAAACTGTTTTTGCTACCAGAAACTAACAAGTATTATCACTACAACCAAAAGTCACACATTTGACAGTGATGCAAGATCTCAAGATGTCCTGATGTAAGTGTTTGGAAGATGCACTTTCTTTTTACTATAACAGTAAAGAGTTTGGCTAATACTGAAAGATCACAGGTTCACTCTTGAACATTTCATAGTAACACAAAACACAACAGATTTCTTTATATACTGAGATTTCTATATCAATCAATAAATCAACNCTCCGAAACGTCGGTTAACACCACATATACACGGTGCCAAATCCCTGAAGACTGCTTTCTTCAGCATGAATCTACTGCACAAGACAGAAGTATTACAACAAATTGGAAAATCTGATCTCTTCTTGATCAGCTAAATACTGTCTTACTATAAATTTTACAGCAGGTGAGTTATTTTCAAGCAGTACATTCTTAAGAAACATAAGCACTTTGGCAAAAGAATTATAAACTATGTGATAGGACTGGCTAACTCATAACATGAGTACAGTGATAACTCCATTTCAGGTTCAGTGGATGTGAACACTGAAATGAGGAAAACCTTTAATGGAGAAAATACAACAATGAAATTACTGATTTGGGAACACTGAAATTGAATGTTAAAAAACGGAAATCCTACAACTGAGGAACATTACATGCAGATTCCGATGTACTTTGGAAAGAACAAGCACAATAGAATCCAGACAATGCAACAGCGAAACCCCTCACTATATTAAACAGTTACATTAGTTTACCATACTTTGGTAGAAAAATAGAGCATCATCAAAAATGTTGTCTGCATTTCATTCAAATCATTGGAAATTAGTCCAAGGGATTCTCATCCTCAATCCATCCCACTCACAAGTCAGTATAATCCCCACCTTGAAGACACACCAATAACTGTCTTGCTGCAGAATCAGCCTAGTGGTTCGCCTGTAAATTTTGTCTGAATGCAGATCTGTGTTTTCATACCACAAATATGAACTTCTAACCTAGAGTTCTGTGACAACATGGGAAGGAAAATACAAGAAATTTACCATACAAACATAAACTCTAAATCAGAAGGAAGGAACACATTTTAACAAGTGTGTGATATACTTGGATTTATACATACAAAATTTTGTTTTATTTCAGAAACCTATTAATATTACTGCAAAGAACAATTTTTAATAGCAAAAAAGTGCATTACAGAATGTAGCCATTAATTTCGTTTAAAATATCTTTCATTAGAAATGTTCCAGCAATTCCAAAGACATAAAAATTTCTTCACAACAAATACCACTACCATTTAAAATTCCAGAGCACTTGAAAGGCCCTAGTTCTGTATGGTAACGGTTCGTTAAAAGGACCCATAATGTGCTGCTAAGCAGACATTAACTTTAACAGGTGAGATATAGTTCTTTTTCAGTTTAATTACTGCAAGGTTTGTGTACCTGTTTCCTTGACATGGAGCATTGGTGGGGTGGCCTCCAACAGCATGGCATTCACACCAAATTTCATGAGGTGGTCAATTAGTCTGAAGTTACTATGAAGGACAAAGAAACTTGACAATGACATAGATTGCTAAATTTCTTTTTAAGAGCTAATGCAGACCAAACACTGGTAGAACCTGCAAAAACTTACGGAGCCTGCAGCTGCCCCAGCAACAAAACTGACACCAAATGAAGGAACACCTGGTGATAAAATTCCCTTGATCTTCTCATAGTGGAACCAGTATATACCTGTCAACAGAGACGGTTTAGTTGGACTGACACACAGCTCCTTAACAGCTAACCAAATATTTTGTACATGGCAAGTGGACAGATGTATGGGTTACACAGATTTAAAATCTACATAGAACTACATGCACGAGTGTGTGTCCATCCATTATGCCCTTTCAAATCACTTTTGAATATCTGTGAGTTAGTGTCCAGAATAACAAAAGGACTGGAGAAGTGGATTTGACATGTGTTTACACTGTGCATCTTCTGAGGTCATGGTGGGCAATAGTCAATACAAAAATATAATGACCTCATCAGGAATTGAACCCATGACCTTTTGGCTTGTAGCATAGTGCTTCAACAAACTATGCTACCACGTGCCCCCACAGCAGATCTATATATACCTTTCATTACAAGCATATTTAAAGAAGTTTATATGCAGTAAACAAATTATAACATTTATGAGTCTTTAAAATGAAAGAGAAGGTATATTACCCTGTACCGAACATCGGTAGTAAAAAAATTATGCACAAGAGCATATACAATAATGAAGTTGTCAAACACCTCCCACTCCATCAGGTCAATATATAACAGAACGCAAAGAAACTGAAATTCACTTATTTCATGACAGTTATGTGCAAGAATAAAGGTAGTCTTCTTCAACACAAATTAATCTCTAACAATAAAAAAGGAACCATTCCAGTTATGATAAAATATATACACAATGTAAGGGTTACTAGAATTTGGGGATAAGCACAAGTTAAGCTGCAGAACAGTGACAGTCTGTAGCCCACAAGCTGAGAAACACCAAAGTATGTTATGAAAGAAAGGGATTGATTCCACAGTATGCAATATCAACAAGAAGCTGGAGCATGAAACATCTGCTTTGGAAGATAGGGCATATTTTAAAAGGAGCAAATCATTCTACACATAGTAAGACTGTCACCTCTAAATTCAGGTTTAGTTATATTCACACATTTCATACAGAATATGAGAGGGAAGGGGCAGGGGGCGGCCATGTGTTGATATCAACAATTTCAGAATGTGAAAAATTCAATAAACACATCTGCCTAAAACTTCGGTTTCTGTTATATTTCTGAAACATAAAGAGTTGCCAATTATAATCATTTGCATGCCAGGTACCAACCTGATCAACTTGGGGTAGCTGCATTAAGATTTATTAACAAAAAGGTGATCTCTTTAATCAATTAGTATAGAACTTTGTGCAACACATGGCATCAAGTAACACACCAACATTTCAAGAAAGGAACAGACTTTCACATGACCTATATCTGCTGTCAGCTGAAGGTAATTTGAGGAAGTATTATGTTTTTCTGTGTAAGTGCATTTACTCTCAAGCAGCCTTAGTGTTTATAAACAGTAGTTCTATGATGAGGGCTTGCCAGTCAATGGGTTACTATCCCTATTTACTGTATGATTAACTTCATAATGTCAAGATACTTTTTCTCATATCTCATGTTAGATTAAAGGATAGAACTATGACCTTGCCACTAAGGGATTGGACTGAAACAACTTCTGCTATCTCCTCAAAGGACCTCTGAATGTTTCATATGTGACAACTACATTTCACTTCACATTCTCACTAGCCTGACTCAAGATAATCAGATTGGTTATCACAGCCTTATTAAAATATTTCGCTACACATGCTGTAGTCATCCATACTTTCCTTGAATACTGATGCAACGGCCACCACAAAAAAGAAACCCAAGTACCTGAGAATGGAACATCTCGGAGTAGGGTTGAGCCCAAACCTTTAAACAGGCCCCGTATGCCATGGTACTGAAGTAAGCTCTTCAATGCTTGACGCATCTCTGGGAGAAAAAAAAAAAGATTAGTAATAGTGAAACCAAATCCATGGCCTCTGCTACCTATTTTACTTAATCATTACATGGTTCACAATGACTGAGTTCATGCTGTCAGTCTCATTGAAAAATTAAAACCACATGGATATTTCCTTATTTCTTGTAGCTACATCAAACAATTACACTCGCTGAATGAAGGCCACACATTACATAGTCATGATTTTGCTGCATGTGTGAATATACGAGCACAAAGGCAAATCAAAAAGTCTTTGCCTCTATTTCTTTTCAGCCACAATAATACACATACAGGGAAATCAAAATACAGGCAGTGTTTTAAGTACCTTTGACTATTTTTCCACATAGTCACCACCTCAGTTCAGGCATTTGTCCCATCGCACCACTAGTTTGGAGATGCCACTGTTGTAGAATTTGGCCGGTTGAGCATGGAACCACCACCGCACAGCAGTCTCTGTGTCATCGTTGGAAATGAACCTCTGGTCTGTCAGGAACTTCTTCAGTGGACTGAACATGTGGTAATCACGGGGGGCGAGGTCTGGACTATACAGTGCATGCACCATAATCTCCCATTCGAATGACTGCAGTCGCTCCCAGGGATTCTCCTGGACGATATGGTTCTCCTCCATGACAGCGCCATGCCTCATGTGGCAAACAGGACCGCAGCCCAACTGCAGTCATTCGGATGGGAGATTATGGAGCATGCACCGTATAGTCCAGATCTCACCCCTAGTGATTACATGTTCGGTCCACTGAAGAAGTTCCTGGCAGGCCAGAGGTTCATTCCTGACGACGACGTGAAAACTATTGTCCAGCGGTGGTTCCACGCTCAACCGGCCGAATTCTACAACAGTGACATCTTCAAACTAGTGGGGCGATGGGACAAATGCCTGAACTGGGGTGGTGACTATGTGGTAAAATAGTCAAAGGTACTTAGAACACTGTCTGTATTTTGATTTCCCTATATGTGTATTATTGTGGTTGAAAAAAAAGGGGGCAAAGACTTTTTGATTTGCCCTCATATTTTGTGATGGCTAGCAGTATTGAGGTTGTAGCAATGAATATAACATTAAGAAACTTTTGACATACTGGAGCTCTTAACAAGATTTTAAAATTGTCCTCCATATGAGTGGGTGTCTCAGAAATATATAGAGTGATTCACTTTGAGGTGGCCCAAATTAATAATCATAAATGATGCAACAGTTCATCAATGAAAACAAAATTTGACAATGCTGTGTATTTTGCAACACCAACCTGGTGCCTGCCTGGTTTGTGACATTGCTTTCAATCTGATTCTAAGTGATCCCTCCTGCTGTCATGGCTGCAAAATTTGCAAACATGGAATGTCATGTTGGCCTGTGTCTCCAGACTGAGTAAAATCAATTCTTACATTTTCTGTAGCCCAATTATATCCACATCTATCAAGGTATGTACTTACTAAGTTAATTTTTCTTTGGTAATTATTAATGTTGAAACTCCTCCATGTGAATCACTTATTTGAACTTACATTTTTATTATAAATCTTATTTTACAGTCTTATGTGCAACTATTTTTTAACTTAAAAGTTTAAAATTTAAAGGTCACAACATGTTTTGGCCAATATGGCCATCATCAGGTGTTAGAATATATCTAATGGAGAAACTGCTGCTTTCTCTTGTTGCTGCTATTCATGTGTAGGTCCTTCAGATGCACACATGTGTTGTAGTTAGAGAATTATGCTTCTTCATGCTGAGTTCTTTGCAGCGAACATGGGCGTTATTCATAATAACAGGGCAGGGGTAACTTTGTATTTTAAAAGCAACATTGGAAGGGCAACCAGACACCTAACTTCTAGATACTAAAGATGCTATAGGAGTGCCACAGTATACAGCTGCAACAACAGCCAGTACCTTCGTATCCAACACGCCAATGACAACCAAATTCTTCTGATACTAAAACCAAACTGTATACATATAAAAAATTGTGGCTTCAGGCACTGTTGCTAAATAAATCCTCCAACTGTCACTGCTCTATCTTATTGACTTACCTTGGTAACTAACTTTCTTGGACTGCATTTTTGTACGTATCAGCTCAAGTGGACTAACTAATGTTACAGCCCAGAACCGGGCTGTTGCTCCAGCCATAAGAGGGCCCCAGTGAGGCTGTACGCCACCATGTCTATCCTTGATGAGGAGGCGAAGATTCTCGTATGTTACAAAGTATACAACTGTGGCAGGGACAGCAAGCACAATTGTTGGACTTAGCCCACTCCACAGAGACAGTGGTCCTTCATTGCGGGCTATCTTTATAATTGCGTCCTATAATCAGAAAGAAGACTGTCCCTTCATGCACTTAAACCAGGTGGGAATAAAACCAACATCAATGGAATTGAAGCTGTGTTCAGGTTACTGCTGTTATGACCCATTTTCAGCAGGAATTTGCATGTTTTTCTCTTTGGTTCTCCTTATCTAAAGGCAAAATCATGCCCCCACCTTCCCATTCAAATGAACTATAGGCAGCTGACTTGAAGACATTGCACATTCCCACAGCCACTGACTAATAAAATGTTACAAGGAATACATGTGTTTTGTGAGTGTTACTATTTTTGTTCTTTTACTTAAACTTTCGCCCCATAAATGACCAGATGAAGGTCTCAAGTAATATCTCTACAGTAACTTTATTTTTATATTACTGTGCTCAACTGGAAAAACTTTACACTATGGTGAACATGTATAACTGCAGATGAGTTTGAGAGTTGTGCCCATCTACTATATAGAGGTCAAAGAAAGAAGACACATGGATCGTAAGCAGTGAAGGTTTGAGGCTTCCCTCTTTCTGTGTATTGTTGTATACCTCCCTGCCCTATCTCAACCAGCCAAAAAGTTTGGGGAAGATTATCACAAGGTTATCATTACCAACATTTCTGTGAACAGAATACAGGAAAGTATCCTGGCAGGAGATTAGCAGCTTGAGGGAGATGTGGAGGAAGCCAACCACTGAACTTCTAATCTGAACATAAACTCAGAATCAAACAATTTAACTTGTCTATCTGAACCAGTTCCAGCTTACCCTGCATCTGGTCACAGTACTGTGAAGATATAGCTACTACATTAACACAGTTATCACTTCTTACCATGTTCTGTGTTCATTATATTACAGAAACTTAATTCAGTTTACTCTTTCCAGAACATTTACTTCAGAATATTGTTACAAATATCTGTAGAGATGAGTAGAAACATTTTAGAGATAGCAGTGATTTATCTGCAGGCATGCTTTGGGATGTTAAAAAGGGAGGAAAGGCTGCTAATTGCATTTCAGATTAATCAATGGAGTAAGGGGCCTCAAATTAAAGTCCAGCTGGGGCATTACAAAAATAGCTATCCTTGCTTGCACGACTGCTTTTTTAAAATGTAACTTAAAAGTTACAGAGATTATATTAATTGCAGCTACCTTCTGTATAAAGTGTACATACAACTTAAGCTGAAATAAGTAAATACAGTCAACTCTTGATTATCCAGGGGCGGATTGACCGGTTTGCAGCTTAACCGGGGCTACTGAGGCTTTTTTGAGGCTTATATGTTGTTTAATATTCATTCACTTTTGTTTCACATGGTGAGTTGTAACACTATTTTCGCACTAGTGTGAACCGAGCTCTGCATTCTTTGGTCCCGTTATGCTAACACAATGTTTTAGGGTAGGGATGAAAGAATGCAAGGACGTGTGGAAAGTTTCAAGGACAGATACATCACCCCAGTTAGTATCTTTGTATCGATCTTCAAGTGCGTTAGCAAAATGTCAGGGTGTAAAAGGAAGCGTGTTGTGTTAAGTATTCAACAGAAACTTGAAATTATCAATCAGCTGGGAAAAATAGGTGTAGTTAAACAATTAGCAATGCAAAACAGTATTGGAGAACAAACTGAGATTTTAAAAAACAAAAGTGAGAATGAGGAAGAGGTGGACAGTGCTGCTCTTAATCATTTGGAATCCTTACTAGACATCTTGAGAGTGAAGAGAACAGTTTATTAAGTGACAAGCTAATAGTATGTAGACTTCGTACGGATATCCATAAAGAGGAATATGCCGCAAAAAAGCAAATGATAATATTAAATTTTTTAAGTGTTAAGTGTTGGATGTTGTTGAACGCTGTGATTGAAATAACTAATTCATACTTCAGTGTAATGTAAAAAAAAAGTACTAAATAGGCCATGAGATGACATAAAAATGAGGTTGAATAAATTTAAATACAGGCAGGCCTATAGTATTATGAAGGTACAGTATTACAACACTACTTTAATAAAATTTGTCTTAACCAGGTTTTCTATTAATCGTGATTTCCATCCCCACCATTATCCCGGATAATCAAGAGTTGAGTGTATATCACAAACTGGAAATTTTACTCACCATAGTGCCAGTGAAGTGACCAGGGCGGTGATACCAAAACTGTGATGTCTGAGAAGATGGTTGACCTGGTCCATTGGGATTTATACAAGGACAGAGATGATCCATGAGCCCATTGCAGTACAAGAAACATTTGTTAGAAAGTTGCGTTTTTTGCTGAGCTTGAAGGCGAATTTTTACGACATCAAATGGCGTCACTGAAAATTTAAACATGCTGAATTATGTTACCAAATTTGAAAACTCCGTTTGGCTTAATTTCACCATTACAAATATCGCTAATAAGTTGCTTTTGTAGTCTAGAAAATGGAACTTCGAGGCAGTCCAGCTTCAGATTCCGGAAGTCCCTGGTTCAAATCTCTATCTTGATGGCTCTGAATTGAGGTTTTTAGTTTACCTTGCTTTCCCTGTTTTCCTTAGTCTCTTCAGACAAACGCTGGGATAGTAACTCAAAACAAATGACTGCTTCCCTCTGCATTCTTTCAAACTCATTCAGTATCACCCTACCATTTGACAACGTACAGTTTGCAGTGGTGAAGTCACAGAACAATCCATAAATAAATTAAGGTGAAGTTATCCTTGTGCTTAACTAATGTGGCACTACGCCATGAAGGCGTGTAAGGTGTGAATGTATAAATCCACATTTTCATGACCTTGGCACTAGTTGGTGAGTGGTCAGTTTTACACCCCGGAGAAAGAGCCGCCGGTACCCATTGGATAGGGGACTGGATGGGCCCTAGAGCAGAGTCGTAGAGAAAAGAAAATTCATGACCCTACCGGGACTCGAACTCAAACCCCTCGGTCGTCCAAACGATAGCCAGTCGCTATACAGACTTACGCTCTCCATAAATAACTTAACAATTAATCAGTAGCATTACACTTTAGAGATAGTACTTACTCAATAATGATGTAATTAGGGCTCCGGTACATGATGCTGCCATTTGTTGGGTCATAGAAATTCGAAATCGTGGGTCGTCCAAACCTTGACATTCTCGCTCGTATTTTGACATAACGGTTGAGAAACAAAATATATGTTAATATATTAAATAATAATTCATTAAACGACCCACACGTTTTCACAAAGGATCACCATAAGTTTCGAGAAATATTACATAATGATTAAGAGAGAGAGCACAACACACAACAATACAGCCCTCCATTTTTACTACGCTGCCCCTTCCGGTCACTGCTTCCTAGATCTGTAGCGATCTGTAACACTCTTTGTAAACTGTATGCGCCATGGATCACTACCTGGTGCAAACACGAAATGATAATGCCTATACAACACGGATCCTACACGCTGGTCAGTAATTCCGATGCTGTCCATTACATCTGGCCTGTGGTAGCAAAGTCCACAGAAAATTTCCACAAAACAAAACAGCTGCTGTGCCACAGTTACAGATTTCTTTGTTATAATCAACCGATTCCCGGGTATTTGTCTTCATTCATGGACTGTGAACCCTGTTCACATGATTTTATTTGCAAACTTGAACAGTAGTGATGAAGTTCGTCTAAAGTCTATGATGGATCGAAATAGCTTTCGGCCACTAACGTGTGATAAGAAGACAGACTTGAGACCGCAGATGATCCTGATTTTCGTTCTAAAACTCAAAGTGCTGGGGCGGTCTGGTACGGAGTTCCAGGCTGAAAGAAAAAGAAAATAATGCGCGAAAGATATGAAGCAGATTTACACTTTTAAATGCAAAACCGGACGACGAAGAGCTCATGAAACGCACATACTATGAGAGGCTGCTGCTTTCCATATCAGAAGTCGAAAATTAAAGAAGCCATAACACCCATGCGTTTCACGCAGGTGTCTTTAAAAGAAGTACTAAAGCGGAGTCCTGGCACTGAAAGAAGTGCTAGGACGCCGCCCTGGACTATAACCCTGGCTAAGATTAAAACCTTGTGTAGGTGGGGGAAATTTTCGATGGCTGAGATTTCTGAGGACTGCTTGAACCGAAGTTGTTCTCCTTAGCCAAAAACTTCGCCGGTAGTTTTTCTTAGCAGTGGCGAGGTTGCGTATTCGAATAAGAAAAGGAGTGACATTTTTTGTGCTATGATATGCATTAATAATTTGTCTATAATGAGTTCATTTCAACACAGTTCCAAGCGGATTAAAAGTTCCTTATCCGAAACGCAGAATATTATGATGCATCTGTCGGAAAAAGAACAAATAACCTCAGTACTAGAAACCACTTAGCCCGTTCTAAAGCCGTGCGTATGTGGAAAGCGAAAATTAGAAAAATCGGTTATAATTTCTGGAAACAAAAACTGTCGGGAAAGCTTTGTATGTATGGTGGAATGTTATACCATGATTCGTGAATGAATTAGATTCTGGAGAAATTCTTCGAAATTAAGACACAGTTCAGATAGTCTGGCATGACAGAGCCGTCCCTGGGGTAATAATTGCAGCTCCTAAACCGATTAATGTTGAATTGAAATATCTGTTAGTCCAAAGATATGGGTTTCGACATTGTTCGTTATTAAAATCCTGAAGCATGTACATTGCCCTCCACCTGGATTTCATAACCCCTCTATTCTAGAAGACATCCACGCCGTGAAATATCTCAGGCAGTTAGTAACCGGCTTCCAATAACTGCGGCCCAGGTTCGAACTCGGGTCAGGTCATGTGGGATTTATGGTGGACAAAGTGGCAGGTTTTCTCCGAGAACTTCGGGTTCCCCTGCCACACTCATCATCTATCATCCGGGGCCGGTATAATAGGCCAGTTAGTGCCGACATACCAAGTACACTCAGTCTCACCCCACCCGAAGAAACTTAAAAAAAAACAGAAGTCATTAAAGAAAACCCTCCTGCAATACGTGGGATATGTTCCTCGTAAGCGGCGCGTTCAGTGCGTTACCGTTGGCCGAACTTAATATTTTTTAGGGTTAATGGCGATATGGGAATTGGGCCGTCCAAATAACAATAAAAAAATATAAAGAACAAAATCGTAAATATAGTGCAACGATATTTACTTATGAACAAAATGTATAATAAATGTCATTTGAAAGTTAAGCAATGAAGTGAAATATCAACTAAATGTTATTTACTTACTCATGGAGTGGAGCCCTTCTGGAGGAGCCGCCAATTCTGCAGCTACTAAAGAATTTCCCAGCATTTTATAGAACCCGAAGGTTCATTACCGTGTTCACAAGAGCCCTCCACTCGTCCCTATCCTGGGCCAGATCAATCCAATCAATACCATCCCATCCTATCTCTCTAAGATCCATTTTAACAACTGAATGTTACGTATTATAAATATATTAACCAAAATTTAGGCACCAAGCAAACTTCATGTGTTAATAAAGCGTGCTTGACGGTCCGTGTATTTACGAATTTCTTGCAAATAATTGTTCGCATTTATTTACAGTCGTCGCATCGATTCCACGTTGGACAAACTTGCGATGGGGATGGGTTTCCTGAACTGGAAAGTCATTTTGAACAATATCCTATACATGGACGTTAAATTAAACAATTGCAACAGGATGCTGAAATACAGAATTGTAAATGCCTTGTTGACTAACCTTTACCCGTATTCCACGATTTTCGTCCTTCATGGCCTAATATAACAAGTCACAGGATTTTAACCTTCATCAGTCAGGCAGTACAGACTTTCTCTCACACTAACCTACGACAGAAAGTTGTAATGCGCAAGAAAATTCATGACTTATAGACACAGGAGCAGAAACGCCCACGACAACCCTCCTCGCTGCGCAGGAAGAAAATGAAAGAGGGTTGACTACCTGCAGTAAGCAGTGGAGAGGCGGCAGTGTATTTTATTTTCATTTCTAGAATCGTCGGGGGAACGGGGTACCATAGTTAATTGAGGCACTATGCTACAAGATGGAAGGTTGCGGGTTCGATTCTCGATGACGTTATTGTATTTATCAATTGACCTAGTCCTTCAGCCACATTATGGTCCTGGGGTCGACTCTGCCTCTAACAGAATAAAGGGTGGCCGGCGCGTAAGGATGACAACTTCACCGCCATCTGTGAGCCGATGTTTACAAAATGTGGGAGCCTTGACGTCTCACAATCCTATGGGCCTCCATGGCCTGTTACAGGATTAGCTTTACCTACATTTTTCTTTTTAAAATCGTTGTTACATGAGATGATACTGCTTTCACTTAGTGATAGATCCAGATCTGGTGGTCTGGCGCCGAAGAGCTTAAGCCTACCCAGTTCTAGAGACATGGGAGCCTCTTTCTGCTTTCATTCAGCTCAAATATGAGTAAGAATAATAATACTTGCATGTGAGATCGGAGGTTCTCAAGGTGGTAACAAGATTACGGTCGTCTCAGATATACGGGGTCATACTGCAGAAACCCGCAATATTGATATAAATTATTAACATTCATATAATTTTATATTCCATGTCTATCTATTTTTTTAAACCAATGTCCATGTCTTTGTTACCTCTTCAATCATGTGCCAAATAATATGAAACACCTTTGCACTGCTAAGCATTTATGTTTTTTCAAACTAAAACAAGCAAAAAAAAAAAGAACAGTTCAATCGATTACTTAACCAACCAAACAACAAATCAATTTAATGATTCATCCATGAACTAATGGTAAATAACTAAACGACTGCGTTCTACTCTGACGCTACGCAAATAGATGTTGTAAATCTCCGTTCTGATTAATTATGATCAGATGTAAAGAATTACTGGTTAATGCACTGTGCATTTCTCTTCCTGCCGGCTGCTATGGTTAGCCCCACACAGGGACAAACGGATGCGAAGGGGCGCATGTATAATCGATTGCTGTTTACGTAGCAACCAAGTCTACTGAGATGAAAGAGGCGTGATTGCTGATATACATAATTTTGATATTCATTTACTGTTTTCGTACTAAAAATTTTAAACAAATTTGATAGTATAAGCTCACTATGGGTGACGACAGGAGCAGTTTCAACACAGAATTGGCGAGCATTAGGTGAGTTCACTAAACTGTAACCTTACTGATTAGCAACGTAAAATGTGAGAATCTTTTGTCATCTTACATGACGACTAAAAGAGGTAGACCTATTCGTATCTGTATATTTCATCAAACCTATCTCCATTCTATCACCAAACCTAATCACTGCCATCACAATCTCGCCATGATCTGGTTGCTGAAGCCCGAATGTTGTATTTTGCAACGATATTGAAAGGCGGGGCATGATGACGTCATTGTCAGATCAGAAGGCACAAAAACGATAATGTGGCCTCGTGAATTATTATGTCAATATCGGGATTTTCCTGAAGGTAATGAATAAGTCTAAAATATAGGTTGTTTTTCGGGTATCGAACACGGTAACTCTCAAAAAGGGGAGTTGGATATATCATCGCTATGCAAATACGGCAATCATGAGGTACAGGGTAGTCTAAAAAACTGAATATTTATTTCACAGCTTAATTCAGAAGAATGAATTAAATCAATATGAACACAATAAAAACTATCTCAATAGCACAGAATATTGATTCTTATTTCATAAATAGAGGGACACAAAGAAGGAGATGGTGCTGGATCATATTTTGGGCCAGCTTAATCGGGTTCATATCCCGACGACGTATTTATGAAGACCAGTTTCAACATTAATATTCACATATTTTTCCTTCGGCGTTATAGCCCCAATTTGGGCCTTGGCCTACCTCCATGAAACTCTCCGTTTCACATTGGTTTACTAGATTCGGTAGAACTCCTTGGGCGGGTGATCAGCTCGTCGCAAGGCCTCTACCTGTATACAAACACTGAAAAAAAGCACACACACACACAAACACTAAACATTCATGCCCCGAATGGGACTGAACCTACGATCCCGGCTTCCGAGCGAGCGAAGACAGTGCATGCCTTAGACCGCTCGGCTACCGTGACTGGCAATATTCACATTTACCTTTTGGTTTCCCATGAAGATTCTACACATATTTGATTCCTCCACTCGATCTGCAGCGCATGTTTTGCTCACAGTAATCTTACTTGGGTCTATCCCGTTAAATAACTGTCAAGATTGTGGAATGGGGCTAAGGTATGCCGTGCAGAAGATCTGAGGCCCGAGATTAGCCGGTTCCGGTGCAGATGTTTCCTTATAGCACACCTTTCTCCAGATTTTAACAGTCATAACTGTATGTTTTTGTTCGGATTAAACGTTAAGGTTCCTTCTGCTGGCAATTACAGTTACCATCACTGTACAACCGTCCCAAACTCAGGGGAAATCAATCGCGCTTTATGGGTGCTTCCACTTGAAATATTGATACCTACCTACCAGCATTCACTTTCGAAAGGCAGCCGGAGGTCAAGGAGCCGAAAAATGCACCTAGATGCATGAGTTACAACAAAGGATTAATTTAGTAGGCCTAACTCTCATAATAAGGTAAAGTGTCCGCGTGCTCAACTAATTAGACACTACGCCATGAAGACGTATGGAGAAGTGGATGTATAGATCCACATTTTCTTCACCTCGGCAGTGGTTGGAGATGAATGGTCAGCTTCACGCCCCTGTCGCTTTACCCCAAATGAACGAGTCCCCGGTATGCATTGGATGGGACGTTTGGTGGGTGCAAGGGCCTGTCTGGAAGACGCAGAATAGAGAAAATTCTTGATTTTACTGGGACTCGAACTCCGAACCCTCGGTCGTTCAAGCTGTAGCCAGTCGCTATACCGACTCCTAACTCTCTCACAATAGGAACGAAAATTTCGAAACAGGGTTTAATGAAGTGCGCTTGGATACGATGTTGAATCTTTTTCATCGCCAGACATTAAACCTATTCCCGTACTACGCATTTCAACTATAATCTGTGATCTTATTTTCGGCCTTCCAAAACAGATTTACCCACGGTTTGGTGAAGTCTATTTATTGAATGCCCATCCGAGCTACAAGCCCAGCCCATCATAACATCTTAGAATTTTCTACCTTAGCTTCCATATGGTTTGAGGGTGGAGGGATATAAAGACGCTGTCAGTAGCTAGGTTCTACAGCGTCGAACGGCAGGTTGATTGATGAATGAGGAATTGGAAAGGCTTTTGAAGGAAGCGGTTGCGATCTAATCAAGGTAATATATCAGAAATTTTCCGAAAGTACTGAGTAAAATCAGGAAAACATCAGTTACTACAGTCGGTGTCCAGGCCGAGATTCGCACCGAGAATCTCCCAAACACAAGTGCAGCGCATTAATGCGAGACCAACCTGCTCGGTTCTAACTTCCTCGCTGTGTATGCCTAATAGGCCCATTCTAAATCTTCCATTTTCTCCATCCATCTTGGATCCAAAAACTTACCAGAACAGTTGGTTTTCAGGCACTTGTTACTTACGTAGTCCTGCTTCCTCCTTCAACAACACTACAATAAAGTGGTAGGCGAGTAACATGATTATTACAGACAGGCTAGTCTTCGATGTGCGGGACAGTAGATGAAGAGATTTTGACCTCTAAAATATTTGGTAAAATTTACAAAGGCAAAGTTGTTCTGTGCTTAATTAAACACCACACATTAAAGACAAGCGAAATACTGGAGAAGCTCCATCCATTCACAAATTCGGCATTAGATATAGGAGACTGGGCAGTTTCAAGCCTCAACTCACTTTACCCCCGACTGAAAAGCATCTGATACCAACTGGGTAGGAGGATGGTTTTGATCGAGATCCAATCCGGACGCTGTGAAGAAGAGAAAAATATTTTGCATCTCTGCCGGGAACGGAACCCATTTTTTTCGATCGTCCAGATCGTAACATAGTCTCCATACCGAATGATCTACCAGGCTCCTAGGTAAGGTACATAAAAAGCCGAAGCAGCCAAACTGCTCGGCTCATCAAGCAAGTGTAATTTGCAACAGATTATGAGAGTATCAGGACTGTGTTGTGTTCAGTTTGGAGGAGGATGTTCTGGAACTGGACCTCCTGGAGAGGCTGGACTCGGAGGACCTATGTGAGCTCCGGAAATACTTCTTCTCCGGCGACATAAACGCCAAGAAAGAGCAGACACACCAGAAAGAGACGCGACGCAAAAAGAATGCGCGGGCAAATGCGGTGCAAGGGAAGAACTACGGAGGGCAACCGCTCACCAAGAGACAGTTTGTGAAGGCCATCGAGAGAGTAGTCGGTAAGTGACGCATAGGTCACAGGTGCACTTGGTAAAAAAAAGTAGAGTTTTCCCTGTGCTTCAGTAATTAAGCACTACGCCACGAAGGCATATGGGGCAGTGGATGTATAGATCCACATTTTCTTGACCTCAGCACTAGCTGGAGGTGAGTGGTCAGCTTCACGCCCCAGCCGCTTTATCCCTGAATATCCCTCATTGAATAGGAGGCTGGGTGGGCCCCAGAGCCGGTCTGGAAGATGCGGAGAGGAGAAAATTCTTGACCTTACCGGGAATCGAACTCTGATCCCTCGAACGACCAGGCCGTAGCCGGTCGTTATACTAACTGAGCTATCCCGACTCCTTTATAGGTGCACTAGAATAACTGGAATTTAAAACTCTCACGGAGATAAAAATATAGATTTTTTCTCCTAAATATCTCGTAGGTAATTATCAACGTTTCGGAAGAATCCACTGCTACCATCTTAGGGCGAAATTGCGACCTTGACTAATGTGGAGCATGTGATCGTTGCCTGATTTGTCGTATTATCTCGACACTTGGTAAGAAACACAGAATACCTGCTGTGGTATTGGTCTCCCGACGATATTTGAAATTAGGACCTCCAAAATACGAAGTAAGAAGTTGTCTACTCGACTTCGAGTTTGGTGACCTGCAGTTATAATTGTATTTCGATGGCTGTTCCAGGAAACACCTTGTATTCACAGAGTGCGAGGCATTGGTTCGAATCTTTGGACACGTCGCAGGTGGGACTAGTCTGGTGGGAGGAAGTGCTGGATCACATGATGGAGAAAATCGGCAGCCGCTGTGTAGTTGGCCTAGTCAGCCCAGTGGAGAGACACATCGACATTTTCAATATGCCCCACTGCAAGGTAAGAAGTTGTATGCAGGTCTTACGGAAGGGTTTCGTTACGTACATTCAATGAGCAGGTTATAAAAATATTACTGTTTCTCCAAAGAAGTCACACAACCTAAGACGCGTACTGGTTTACGATCACTCGAATACTGGGATCGTGGGCTCCAATACCACACGTGGTACGAACACATGTCCTGTGATTTTTGTGTTGTGTTATTCTGTAGATACCTTGGGATGAGCCGATTCCTCGGACGAGGAATCCCATCATTGTCTATGATATTCATAGTTTGAGAGGCTAATTCTAAATATAAACAGGCCAGGTGGCCTAATCCGTAAACGGAAGGAAAAGTATAAGAAGTATTTTTGGTCTCTCCCAATTCGGACTCTTTACAGCAGCTAACGTAGGAAAATGTAACCTACAGCCCCTAACGTACAAAAGCGTGACGTACTTAAATTACGTGGTGACGGTACAAGGATTTAATCTTGCAGAGGGAGACCATCGTAAAGGTGGTGCCTATTGAGACTGAGATGACGTTCTGCTACGCGGTGGTCACCAAGTTCGGCCGTGTCGGGGTGTACGATGGCCGGCTCCAGCTCCTGGATAGCTACGTCATCGCCCTGAGCGAGGGAGATATCCGCGAACGTATTGGTGATGTGGACCGTATCGACAGACGCCGTCGAGTGACGTCGATCTGGTTGACTGACGCTGTGCACATCCCAGACGCAAACGTGCTGCTTCTGGCGTGCTCTGACCGAAGCCTACATTTGTACGACTCATCCAGTTTGATCCATGCCCCATTATGCCTTGTGAAAGGCATGAGACACGTACCACAGTGCCTCGCATACACCGTCGCTAGCGACAAGAACCCGTCAATGCTGTTCATTGGCGACAGTGTCGGTAATGTCACCACCCTGCGTTTTCACCAGCCCCGGGTCTCTCTTTTCCGCAAGAAGCACCCAGACAAGCTCGACAAATACTACTGGACGGTATGTCTCTCAATCTCACGCCATTGCAAACAACACGTAGTTTTAGCTCTGAATGAACGAGTTTTAATGAAATTTTGTACGGTAATTCAACACCAAAAGCTTGTGCGTAATACTTGACAATAATAATCATAATTCAACCATTGTTTACAATGGACTGAAATAAGAATTTTTAACATCCAATAAATTTCAAGGCATGGGATCTTCAAGGTGCTGCACTCATCAGAATATTCTCCATTTCAGGAAACTCCTAATTTGGACACAACTATTATAAAATCCACCGATAAACTTTACCCCTTACATTTCATAACATAAGGACATTACAGAAACAACATACTTGTGCAACGCACTCTCAAAGTGTAAACACTGTCCAGTGTAGGGAGGCATAGCAGATAGAAGGATAACTGTAAAGGCTCTATGTACCTGATGATGGAAAAAATTGACCGAAACATGTAGTACATGCAAACTATGGTGTATTTATACAAGAGCCGTGTTGACTGAGTAACAACAATCATTACCTAAAGCCACTCAATCCAGTTCACGTACTATAAGAAACGGCAACATTGTCCTACTGTACAGGATTAGGCCAAAGCTTTCGAAGAGATCCTTTTGTTTGAGGTTTACTTACCGAATTTTTGCTCTCACTTCTCTCCCCATGAATTTCTTCATCTCATCAATTCTATGTTTACATTCAAATTTCCCCGTGCTATTGAGCAACGGTAAAATTGTGCCTGTGCTTAATTAAGCACCATGCCATAAAGATGTATGGAGAAAGGGAGGGATCGCTCCACACATTCTTAGTCTTCAGCATTAAATGAAGGTGAGTGGCCAGCTTCACGCCAAATGGCTGGACAGTACTTCAAATTAGGCCACGACCATTTCTTCCCACATATTCCAATCCATTATTCAATAAACATCCTATCCCTGGACGTCATACAAACTTGAGTGCCGCCTACTGAGAGCATCTTTAAATAACCGCGAATAAATAATTATGGTTTCAATTTAATCAAGATTGAGGTTGAGATTATGTTAATAGAGTGATCAACTTTGGAATTTCATAAAGACAGGGAGATTCTTGCCAAAAGGACAATTTGTAGTGTATGCATGAGGACATGGTTGGTTTTGCTTTGCAGGAGCTGGAACAGCAGAGTGATTATGTGAGGGCAACGGTTGATGTGGGGGTTCATGGAGACGTTGTGCGGCAAGTGGCCTACTTCCCAGACAATGAGACAGTGGTCTCCTGTAGCCAGGACCCATCAGCTACTCTTGTAATCCGCCACGTGGCCGCAAGAAGAACACCTTACATCTTCAGACTCGCCCGAGTGAGTATTACATTGTACCGAAGCTTCCGATTCGAATCAGAGCTTGTGCTCTTTAATGTGTGCTGTAGTTTACCGCACTTCCTCTTCAGAAGTACCAGACTTGTACCTTAGAAATGATCAAGTTCCTCTAATTTCATGCTAAATCTACATAATCAATGCAGTCCATACCTCTCAGTTACACATGCTCTTAACAGACACACATTCAGTAGCTGGTTGAAATTCAGGCCAGGGATTGGTATCCTGTGTGGAAAACATAAACATTTTGCTATCAGCAGTCAAACCCCAATTCCACGGCTGTTCAAACTGCAGAATAGTCGTTATTGCATGTTATTTGTGTTTCCACGCCTGTTGCAGGGTGTCCGGTGTTTCTGCCTTGATCGTTCTAAGCGACTGCTTGCCACAGGCAGTAATGACTGTGTTGTCAGATTATGGAATCCTGTGGTCACCAAGCGGCCCCAAGTATCCCTCTTTGGTCACAAGGCTGCTGTGGTAGATGTCCTCATCATGCACCACCTTGGGGCCGTTTTCAGCTGCTCCCAGGATGGAGTGAGTGTTTCTAATCTTGAAAATGTAAAATTATATTCAGTGATAAGCCCTTAAGGCCACAGAGGTAGAATTTTAGAAATACAGAAGTATGGATTTTGATTTAGCAGTACCTGAAAGAGACTGCAGAGAAAAGTGCAGATACTTCGGAATGTAGGTTATTGTAGTCATTATAACATTGCCCACCAAGTCAAATATTGCCGAGCTGGATGTGCGAACATTCTGTGTAAATGGGTGCTACAATGCATGTTGACTCAGAGGTGACTATACAATAAATATCTTGGGGACGGTAAACACTGGGGATTATCGATAAAAATTTGAGAGCAGTTGACAGAGGAGTCTATGCCCTTCAGCCCTCCAACAGTTAATACTTCTCCAGAAGCCCAGCTCAACCAAAAAATATGGACCTTCGAAAACTTCTGTACTGTGCCTTCGCCCTCATTACCATCCAAAGTAAGTGGAACCATGAATGTAGCGAAGGAAGTGCAGTGCAATGTTCGACTACCAATCTCACGGGGCTACAGTAACATAGACCAATTGAAAACCATGTTATCAGTAGGTATATAGTGGAAATAATAATGTATTTAACTACCCCCATTTTTATAATCAGTGTTATTCATTCCCCACTTCCGAAGGAAATTCTCTGTAGTTACAGCAGGGTGGTGCAGCTATAGAACCTTCTTAAATTAACGTCTGTACATTTTACCCCCCCTAGCAAGAGAGTAACATCCAGTGAATACAACTGAAGACTGCTGTCTGCAGGGATATAACATTACGCAATCTGACAGATCATTATAATCATTTCAGAGGGACCTGCTGCCTCTATCTTTGGCATAGAGCACACAGCGTCCTATTGAGCAGACTGGCATGGCAGTAATGTTCTAGATTCTATTCGTGAGATGCTTAATTAGAAGCTCGACCAGAACTCTGGCTAACCGGACTAACAGGTTTAGGGTTTCTTCTCAAACTCTCCAGGCAAATTCTGGGATAGTATCTCAAAAAGAACATGGTCACATCCTTCCAAATACTTTCCCATTCATCATTAATAAATCATCCTACATTTCAACGCTATAAAGAAGGGATAGCTATCCCTGTAACAGACCATGAAGGCCCATAGGTTTGTGAGACGTCAAGGCTCCCACATGGTGGCGAGGCTTCAGCCTTAAGCGCAGGCCGCCCTTTATATTCATTTCTGTTAGAGACAAGCTGAAAGTATTGTAAAGCAAACCACACAAGCAGAACATGAGTGTTTCCTACTTAAAGACCAGTGGGATAGTAGAACTGAGACATCAGAGATGGACTATTTAGGTCAATAAAGAGTGAAGGGCTGCATCTGAATGGGTAGATTAAAGAATGAAGATACGAGAACAGAACTGCATACTGATATCTTGAGGAAACAATTATATAATACAGAACAAAAGGGTAAAGAATGACAAATCTTGCATTCTGATACTCTCTTTTAAATGCAGGGTGTAACCCGTTGGAAGAAGAGACAAAAGACAATTCAGAAGACGAAAGAGGAAATCATAAATTATAGGAGACTGGAACAGGTGATGGTCTACAGTTCTAAACTATTTGATTAGAGGGAAGACGAAATTGATGGTGGTAAATAAGAACAGGAATAAGGCCTATTTCCCATGAGAATGAAATGCAAGCTGTCACATGTTCTCAGGTCCTGAAGGTATGGGATGCGGATGACCAGTGCTGTGTGCAAACACTTCCCCTCAACTTCCCATCCTTCTCCATATTGGGGAAAGTAGTTGAATTTGGCACCCGATCGCTGTATCCTGGGCCCTCTTCGGGGGCCACTCCACTGCCTGATAACTCTGATGTGGCCGCTGGGACTCAGGTGTGGCAAAGGGGCCAGCTGTTGGTGGCATGCTGTGACCAAATTGCCTTCATCAGGGTTCCAGCTGGCAGGGACTGTGCCACCCCATCACCATTACCCCCACCCTCCCGTGAGCACCAAGCCTCCGTTCCCTCACCCTGGACTGCAGCAGATGCGAGGGGCCTCATCACTCCAGATGTGCCATCGTCACTCGAACAACCTGCCTCCAGGTAGACCAGAAGCTCTTCATATTCTTGGACTTATTTTCTTTTGTTCATTGCTATTCTTCTGCAGTTTATCTACTTACCATTTCCACTTCCCTTTCCTCTTTCTTCTCTCTGCTGCTATGTATGCATTACCTCATCTTTCTCAAACAGTTTCTGCTTCCTTGTTCAATACTGTCTTCATTTCTCTCAATTTGTTTTTTAAAATTTTCAGCTTTTCTTACTTTAATTCTTCAGCTAATTAATCATATTGGGTTCTTTGTTCTTCTCTATCACCCTCCACAGCTTCAAAGTGTCAAATCACTTTTATCTTATGTGGGGATTGGTCAGTGCAAAATGCTTGTTTCTCTACCACATGATCTCATATCCTTAACATCTTTGTCTAACGCACTGTTTAGGAGGTCCTTCCAGCCGTTGGAACTCACCACATCACCTCAAGGTGCACAGAGTCTGCGAATGGCAGGGAGCCTGCAGGGCCTCAATGTGCTCAGAGCCAAGCACGAACGCCAACAGCAAAAGCTGCAACCCCTTCTAGCACAATGTGCGCCTCATCTAGCACTCCAGCTGTATGACCTGCAGGACATTTATTTCTCGAGGGACTTGCCTCTCACGAGACGCATGCGTGAACGCCGTCTTGACCTGTCCAATCCAGATAAAGTGGTGCACACCAGACTGCCTTCAGCTACTAATAGCAGCAGCAAGGCGTCAAGCACTGCCTCCAGCATCAGATCCATCAGCGGAAGACATCTGAGGATACCTTCTCTCAGGAACAGAAAGAAATATAATCCCAAGATATTGACGAACTAGTCTGATGAAATTTGGCTACTTGAGACCCTTGACTACTACTACACTGAGTCACAGGTTCGAATTCTGCTCAGAGCATTGTTAGAGGCACATATCCATGCATTCATCTGTATGTAGAGATCTAATCACATGCTAACTCCTAGTACAAGAAGTCCTGTTGAATGCTGAAAGGATTACTTGTTTTGTAGTTAATTCTGAGCTGAAACAGACTACAGGGAGTAACAAGTGACAGATGAAAAAATAGAGTGATTCTAAGACTATTTCAAGGTGCTCTTTCTCTCTTGTTCTACTTCTAATGTTATGTATTGATAGATGACCTGCAAAGATAATTATGACTGCTGAGCAAAGATTTAAAGGTCTCGGGTTTATCATATTTCAAGGCGTTGCTCAGGAATTCACTTAAAGATAGAGGAAATCCAATTAAGAATATTCAGACTGTAGACCTATTTATTCATTCACGGCTTATAAGTGACGCTACAGGTAGCTCAGATTACACAGCATCTAATGATACAGTGAAGACTGAATTATACAAGATGTGGAATCAAGGAGTCTTGAATTAATTTCAGGTAGGAATTGAGGTTCTCACAGCAGTGGTTGTGAGGAATTCTATCTTCTGGGATAAAATGCTTCATCATCATCATCATCATCATCATCATCATCATCACCGGCACGACAGCCCTTTGTGAGCCCTGGCCTTCCTAAAATGCTGCATACTCTGGTGAAAGTAAGGAAAGATGTTTAGAGGAAAATATCGCTTTCAATTCCAAGTTTGAAAGGCAAGGCACCAAACAAACCAGCATGAAGAAGGTAGCAAATGGAGCCACAGCCAGTTTCTCTGAAGTGTTGGTTGAAATTTGCTAGACTATAATAAGTTATATGTTAGAAGACAGAACACTTAATTTGAGGCAGTCTGCTATCTGGAAATTTCCCTGTAGGCATAGTGGAATGAAAGATTTCAGAACTGAGATTTGAATCAAGGAACAAGTTCTCATTTCCTGCTCACATCTGTCTACTACTGATATATAGTAGGATATGGAGTTACAATCATCATAAACTTCCCATTTGACACTTTGTTTGCTTTCCCTTCCCATCAGTTCAAAATATTCTTCACTTTACCTCCATTCACTAAAATACTTAAAACTGTCCACCATTATTCCAGCACCACATTAACTCTGAACCACTCTAACACTGCAATAATGTGGGATTATATCCATTCTCTCAAAGATCGAAAATATATTACGAATAATATTAGTAAAAGTTCCTAGGGGTCTGGGTATGTGCTTTCCAACACAGGGACGTAATAAGTCAGATATGGAAGAAGAGTGGAGATATTAGGGGCATAGGATTGCCCCTTAAACATGATATGGACATATCATAAAATATCAGTGAGTATGGCCACAAAATGGGAATACTTCTAATGTCCCTTGTGCACAGATATCTCTTTTTCTACATGCATCATCCAGAACACTCAGTAGTCACAGAACATTCAACCAGGGCCAATGTACTCAGCACAGTAACATTAGCAAAGCTGCCCCACTATACTAGCAAATTCATTCATGATGTCATCAACTTACACCATAACCTTCATTCAGAAGGGGGCTACAAGGTAAGCACTGCCTGTGAGATTATCCAGACTTCATCTTACTACTCGACATTTCTCCCTCTCGACTGTTCCTGCTGCCATCCCCAGACCAGTTGTTCCCTCACTTTCCTTTATTCTGTGGTTCTTCAAAAAAGGTTACATTCTCACCATTCAATGTTCCCTTGTAATTCAGCCTTTATATGTTGACCATATCCTCATCCCAGCCATTTCAACCTTGAAGATGGAGGCAGCAAGTTCCTCTGAAATGTTGACAAACAGCCTACCACCCTAGAACACCATTGGAAAACTGTGAAAGCTGGAAATCAGTAGTCTCTTGTAACACCAGCCACTTAAACTTGGATACCAAATAACTGTGAATTAATTTTAATGTTTTTTAATGTTTGTTTATAATATTTTTACACATCCAATCATATCATTACATGCCTATTATATACATGCTGTATAAAACACATTTTATAAATATATATATTAGCACAAGAATATATGTAAATTAATCTACAAAAACTATTTACATTGACAAAAATATCTAATAGTGCTTTGGAAATATCAATAAACAGCTAAATGCTGCAGGTAGTGAAGTGACTATATATCACTGGAAGAATGAGTTCCATCCAGTATATTATTGTGGATTATTTGCATGATGTATATGAAATGAATGCATATAGGGGTGTTCATGTCTGTCTGTCTATCTGCCTCCACATTTCAACTTGAGAAACTCTGGCTTGATTCTGACATCATGTCACTGGAGGCTACAAAATAGCTCTTCTTAATTTCCTGCAATTAGTAATATCAGAAACTGTGTATGAAAACACATCTTTGAAAAATATGTAACTTCTGTTAATATAATTTTTCTTTCTATATTTAGCTTTTGGTCCAAAAGTCGTAACTACTGAATGACTGGAGACGGGCATGTGAAATCTAGTATAGAGATAGATCATATACATGCCTACAAATTCTGTGTTGAATATTGGTCAACAAGTAAAAACATGGTGAATGTGGAAGTCTTATGTGCAACAAGTTTGGCAGGGAGCAGTATTACCATTATACATGTAGTTGTCTCCTCCTCCTCCTACTGCCTCTACTTGGTGCATAGGGTATCCAAGAAAAGCTAGTTTCACTTCAGTTTCTTAATCTTAGACTCCTTGAACTGGGGATCACCCTATTACGACACTAACACAAACACAGAATAAATGTAAACAGACATCCTCGCCTTGGGTAGGATTTGAACCCACGATCCCAGTGTTTGAGTGAGTGAAGACATTTCATGCCTTAGACCACGTGTCCATTGCGATCGTCATATCTATAGTTGTAGGCCTACTTAATACATTAATGTCTTCAGCAAATCTGTCTGTCACAGTTGGAAGCATTCAGAATGCATGTGAAAGCTACATGTACCCTGGTGTAGATTATACATTTCCAATCTTCTTTCTGTAGTAATATATCGCTCCTAACCCAGTCTAAGGACAAAGAATGACATAAAATTTCTTGTCAGGCAGAAGTTGTTAAAAAGGTGGTATCATGCATGAGCATAAAATATTTGCATTTCACTTGCTTTACTTGGTTAGAAATTACAAAATAAAACTATTTTTTTCTACATGAAAGCTAGTTGGTAGTTGTCAGTTGAGAGTTGAGTTCAGAACAGGAGGCTGTGAAGATAGAACCTGAGTGTGTGAAGCTGAAGAATCTCCGCTGTTAGAAGCTGCTGCCAGGGAACAGCTGATGAAGACACAGAAGGCTGCAAAAAGGCTTAGCAGGTGTTGAGGTAATTTGTTAAGTATGGAGATTAGTGATAGTGTTGTAATTACTTGTAGTTCCGAGTGGTGCCCATCAGTAGTCAATAAATCCATTCACCATCAATCCATACTCCATCTAAATCACCCACATAATTTATAATAGCCCTGTATTGTAGTGGCTGTCAGGACTCTCGAGGTGCTCAATCTGCAATATCCACAACTGGCAGTGGATTAGAGACTGAAGCATAATCTGTTGCTGGTATATTCTAAAGTATGAATAAAGGTGAATTAACATAGAATGAATGGGTGTTTCACTGTTCATCATAATAGTTCCAGCTACAAGTATTTGTGTTGTACAATATTCAATGTAAGGGTAAATGTTTACCAATACAAAGGCCCCAATATTCAACATGGCACAATGTCAGAATTTTCATTCATTACCACTAGAACACTCAGAACAGAATATGGTATTGCAATTATTAAGAATTCAAAAAATCCAAAATGAGCAACTCATAACATATTCTGATTGAAGTGTACAAAAGTATGTTTTTCACAAGAAGTATTCTTCCTTTACACACTGTCTTTGGAACTTTATGTTGTGCAGCCTTCAGCCTTCAAGGTAACAGTAATTTTTTCCAGGACACTAGACAACGGATCTGTAGAATTGCAGTAGCAATTTGATGGTCGCTTTTTAGAATCATGGAAGGCTCCTATATATCTAATGAGGGAAAGTTCTCATACTTTCTAAGATCATATATAGAAATAGATCAAGTGTCAGACGGGCTGAGGGTAAGATGAGAATTTGAAGTGAACAGAGGCCGTGCAAGTGATTGTCTTCGCTCCAGAAATGCTGCCAGCCGTACTGATGGAATTGAACATGTCCTCTGTGTCTGAAAAGAAATGAAATAAGAGAATGTTCGCATCACATGTTGGATGAAGAAGATTTTAATGTGTAATATTATATTTCAGCATCCTGTTGCATTAATATCTCACTCACTCAATCATTAATTTCTGTCGATAAACGCGAACACAACTTTTATTTTAAATGTTACAATTACATTTAAAATTCATAAAAAGTCATTAAAATGTCATTCATCACTACATATTTCCACCTCACAAGGCCATCATCAGGCAACTATTAAATGAAGGAAATCAGTACACTGCATGGGCTCATAGGTCAATAGTAACATTCTGTTATTGCATGTTGCTGTATTCAAGAATGTACACTCACACTTTCCTCATGCTATTTTTATGCTGCTGTGTTCATGAACGCCATTCTGTTTTCATTTACCATTGCCTGTTTTTCATAATAAATGCTTGTTTTAATTAATAGGCTACTGTTCACTGTAATGTTGTAATAAACACAAATACAAAAGGGCACACATCTTTTTAATATAAATGTGGATGCATGCAAACACGTGCACACATCTGCAAACACACACACACACAATCAAGTCACAATATCCCTAACTATCACCTTTATATTAATTACAAATTAATTTTCAATTAATGAAATTTTACTTAATGAGATGCTTTCCAGGAATGAATACATTCACACAGTTAGTGTACTGTTAATCATAATGTCTTACATCTTTGAACCAAGGTGAATCCAGGCACTCTTGAACAGTTATCCGTCGGGATGACGTGGCAACTAAGAGACAGCCAATCAAGTCTTTGCCTTCGTTTGAAACATCAGCAAAGTACTCATCAGGGAAGCAGAAATCACACTTTAATATGTTTGCTGTTGTCTCCTCAACAGAGTCATCCAAGAAAGGGGACACACCACTGTAACAACAACAAACACTCAATACAGCTTCATGAATGAAATGTGCCAAAGTGCACTGTGATTATGGATGAAAAATGCATTTAAAACATCTTGGTTAAATTAATAAAGTTTATTTACTATCAGCTGAGATAGTAACTACAAATTCTTTCTTTTCTAAGCTGTCAAGTTCCTTAGTTTAAGAAGGCATTGTGTGAGGTGCTTCTAATATGTTACAAATAGCTCCTGAAAGGTGGATAAAACTTCAAGCCCAAAAGCATGACATCCCACAGGTCTGAATCAAACTCCAATTACTTTCATCTTCAGGGTTAGGTCATGTTTATATCCAATTTTTATCAGATAATCTTGCTGACTTAAAACAACAAGTCTGTGAAGCTACTGCAATAGCTGAACAAAAGAGATCACACAAGTTTCTGTGTGTAAGAAATCAATACATGATTCAGGAGGAAATTAAGAGGAGATTGAATCACAAACACAGTTACTGGAAGATTGAGAGTAACTGTAAAGAGTTGTTCATTTACACAAAGTCAGTGACTCACTGACTCACAAGCATGCCATGTGGCAACTACTGGCCCAGTTAAACAGCATGGTATCCCAAATGAGCAAAGCAAATTCTGGTTATATTCTCAATTTGTTTCAGTTCTCCAGGATTTGTCCCAAATAAATGGCTACTCCCATTAACTGGAATGCAATGTAACTGCACATACTGTTAAAATATAATAAGTGGCATTATGACAGGTATGCAAGAACATGGTGCAGAGTTGGACCTACCTGAGGAAGGCATAGAGGAACACTCCCACACTCCACATATCTGTTTGACAACCAACAGGCTGCCCAAGTACCATTTCAGGAGCAGCAAACTCAAGATTTGAAGGTGGAAGGACTTCCAGATTCCTTGTCAAATTCACAGCATCCCCCAAATCAATCAATTTAAGCACTGAACTGCTGCATGATAAATCCACCATCACATTTTCTGGCTGTGAAAGGGGAACAACAGAAGTTAGAGTGAGCCCAGTACTGATCAGTCTTAACATCACACAGGAATACGAGGGTTTCATGTGAATACAGTATACTATACACTACCACCTTTTAATTTATAATTGCAGAGTATTAACAAATTAAACAGTTCACTAAAGCTCCAAGGAAGAAGTGTGACAATACTGCAATCTGTTTTGTTGCCACATCCTTACCTACAGTTTGATGTACATGAGTGCATTATCATACCTCCATCACGAACTATTTCTAAACCATCTCTGAGGGTATGTCCTATCTTGAGAATGTAACCACATGCAAGATAAGTTCTGTGTGTTCAATAAGATCTCTGGCATGGTGATTCTGGTTTCTGCCTAACAACAGCCTAACTATCTACACCAGCTTCTCATGATGATGCACCCTCAGGTGCTTCAGATATGCAATGTGATTCTAAATAATTGTTGGGGTTTCCGTGGCCTATAATTTTCAAATGAGAAGCAACAAAATAAAACCGCTCACAGAATATGAAAGTGTAACTCAAAAGTTGTTTAACATTCTGCAGTATTGATTACATGAGTAGTAAAATTTTTTAGTTACACTTAAGAAGTTGTTTAACATTCTACAGTACTGATTATATTTGTAATAAAACTTTCTGAGTTACAATTTTATATTCTGTAAGCAGGTTTATTTTGTTGTTTCCAGTTTGAAAATTGTAGGCCATGGAAACCCTGACAATAATTTAGAAATTTAGAAAGCGCTATCTTTCAACGTACAGAACACAAATACGTCAAATTATAAATGCTATGCACAATGAATATATTACCTTTACGTCAAGATGTGCTATACCCTGGTTGTGCAAGTAACCCAGTGCAGATATCAATTGGCGCATGTAATGGCAAACTGTTACTTCTCTGTATTCATCACCCTGCTTGCATACAAATGAGAATAGCAATGGCCCATCCACACTGCAATAAAACAAACCTCATGATGACACCAGAATTCTAGCACTGAAAAAGAATGACATAAAAAATAAGCACAACCAACAAAAGGCCAATGTAAACAAAATCAGGATATATATCTCTATGTTGGAAGCAGAAAACTTCAGATTACAGAATAGAATAAAATTCTGTAGACAGCAATTCTCATTACTTGAGAAGAAATCATAATTCAATAAATTCAGTCACATATGTAAGTATGTCAGTTAACAGTACTTAACTACCAGTATTCCTTAGTAATTAATATTCCTATAAATGACTTTGTTCCTGGAGTAGCTATACTATTATTCTATCTAAATTTCAGATTCAACTAATATTTACCAGTCACATGTATATACTATATTCATTCTTTATTAGTAGTTCATTTAATGGCACTTTCATTTAATAGATTACACATTGCTGAATGATAAGACTGATTACTGAATAATGAATTTAAATGATGAGGAAGGAAGTGGTTATTACCTAATTTAGGTTACTACCCTGATCTTTGCCTGGAGGGACTCAAGAAAATCACAACAAGCTGAAGTTAGTATAGCTGGTTTGGATATTAACCTCCAACTTCCTGAATAGTAACCATTCAACTGTAAAAATCTATGGTACATTCTCAGTAAGTAGAAAATGTTGTAAGGGTTTTACTGAGGTCCTATTTAGCATTATGCTGCACAAGTGACTTCAAACACAAGACTACAATTTTATTTGTTATTTTGTATAGGTGTGAAACTTCCTAAGGGATCAGTATAAATTCACGTTTCACAACAGGGTACTGAGCAAAATATTTGAACAGAAGAAACACTGATAGTATGCTCAATGCTGCATAATGAACTTCACAATTTTTACCCTTTATCAAATAATATAAGGGTAACAAAATCAAGGAGGATGAGTGACACACACATAGCATGCATGGGAAATGAAAAATCATGCAGGATTATAGTCAGAAAATATGACTGGAAGTGGCCAGTCAGGTAAACCAGGCATGGATGGGCGGATAATATAGAGGTGGATATTAAATGAACAGGATGTGGACTGGAGCCATCTGGCTCAGCATATGATCCAGTGGTGCACTTTTGTGAACACAATGGTGAACTTTCAGGATCCATAAAAGGCAGAGAATTTATGGCCTCTTGAACCCTAGAAGGAATATGGAAACAGTAGTGTAGGTATAGGTGCTGACTGGCTTGCAGTTGATCCTCTCTGGGCAAACATAATTTCTTCTCTCTTCTCCTCTGTCCCTGTACCTCACCCCACACAGTTTCAGAGATTAAATCTGAGCAGTAGCTTCCTTATGAATTATGCATATAGGAACAAGATTTCACTCTAATTTCCAGCACTTGAAAACCAATGATAACTTTACATTTGTGATAATTTAGTTTCAACTACGAAGGGCATTCCGTATATACGAGGGTCGTATTGAAAGTCATGAGCGATAATTTTTTATAAAGTAACATGCTTTATTATTGACAAACCAAATACACCACCTCAATCTATAGACCTTTCTTTATTTTTCCACATAATCGCCACTTCTTTGTACACATTTCTCCCAGCGTTCTGGGA